CCATCCACCCACCCACACACGCTCACCCACGTCCACCCCCCCAGACACACATATAGCGAATGACATTTGTGACCACACACACACACACACACACACACACACACATACACACACATACACACACACGCACGCTGTTTGTGAAAGTCGGGGACCAAACAGTCTGTCACAAACAGTCATGCTTTTTTCTTTGTGGAGTTGTGTATACCAGCGAAGATGACAACACACCCCCATCACACACACGCACACGCACACGCACACGCACACGCCCACCCCCATCACACACGCCCACCCCCATCGCACACGCCCACCCCCATCACACACGCACACGCCCACCCTGTGTCCACTTGGCTTCGCCTTGCGATGAGGTCATCCGTCGCCGTGTCTGACTGAGGGTGTGTGGTTGTCCAAGATGCCCGGAGACACAGATGTCATGGTGGCTATTTGTTTTTCTTTCTTTTACAATGCAAAAAACACGAGAAAAATCGCCGGTCAATAGCGGTTATCTAACGACATGGCTTTCCAGGTTCAGGGTACAATACCGACAAGGTAATTTTGACTTAAGTCACTACTAAGAAAGAAAAGAGAAGTAAAAACATAGTAGGGATCCATAACGAGAGAAGAAGAAGAAGAAGAAGAAGAAGAAGAAGAAGAAGAATAGTGAAAACAGTGGCCAACTGCCTTTCATACACGCTTTGAGAGCTCTTCAATGCATAGCCGCGCGTACTCATCTCAGCTCACGCGCACGATCCCCGACGCGTTTCGATCGGTTGCGCTCCGATCATCCTCAGGGGGCTTTCCACATACCCCTCGCCTTGCGGCCCACCGAAGAAGCAAAAGAAGGAATTATAGTGAAAAAACCCAACAACAGTGGCCATAGACTGCTTCTCGTCCAAGTCCAAGCATCGATAGATAGATATACATTTTACTTCTCCACGTGTCATGTGCAGTTCTCAGTTTGAAACTTCATCGCAATTTCCCCCGACGCGTGTTTCGGCTAATCATATCAATCTGCTGCGCTCCTGGCACTCCTCCTCATCAGGGGGTTTCTCCTCAGACTACCGCCTTGCGGGACCACCACCAACCTTCCGACTACTGGCAGCTGATACAAGAGCGCCGTAAAGAGCGCCGTAGGCCTTTCCCCCTCTTCTTCATATACACTCACACCTACCCACAGGCGTAGCCGCACACACACACTCACACACACACACAGAACACACACACACACACACACAGAACACACACACACACACACACACACACACACACACACACACACACACACACAGAACACACACACTGCCTCCGCTTACTGCGTAAGTCAGGTATTTACGTATGGGCAGCATGTCCCAAGAAATTTCGAATTTTCGATTTTTTTTTTTTTTTTTTTTTGTTGTTGTTGAATTCCGGCTCATAACAATCCTTGTTTTGCTATCATTGCGCGCCAATTACTCAACACTACCAGATGCGCGGGTACAACCTACCCGCCGGTAGCAGACAATCTTTGAGCAGGAAATTAATTCCACGGAACGTACTGTAATTCCGATAGTTGTCCTTCGGGACATCCGTTAAAATTGGAACGATACGGAGACAGAAGATTAGCATGGCCCCTGCTGCGCAAGGATGACACGCGTAATTCCGATAGCAGACGACTATCCGATAGTACCAGGGTTGAAGGAAAGTGGAAAGCGAAACTAGGTAGTACCTTGGAGTCAATAGTAGCCAATATAGCGTCGAGCTCGTTCTATTGGGGCTATCAATTTTATTTATTTATTTATTTATTTATTTTATTATTTTTATTTTTTTTTATTTGGACCATTTCTCGATTTCTGCGTGTCGCCATTTGCTGATTTACCCTGCTCTGTATCGTTCCAATTTTAACGGATGTCCCGAAGGACGGCTATCAATGTCGGAAAATGCAGCAAGGTTCAGGCCTACCGTCTTGACCCGAATAGAACGCCCGGTCATTATAGCCGTATTTGGCACAACTTTCGGTCCAGATGCACCGATAATGACCGGGCGTTCTATTCGGGTGAAGACGACGGTACCGCGTGCGTGCGGCCAGCAGAAAACATTGAAACCTTTATTACCTTTAACAGAGAAAATCGGCACTGATAATTAATTCCCCAGCTAATAACACCAATATTGAAAATCGACGAAACAAACGGATTCGACTAGATCAAGCCTATAAAGTACGCTGCGATCCTAGAATCTTCAGCAACCAAGCAGAAGAAGAAGTAGAATAAGAAGGAAGTAAGGAGGAGGAGGAGGAGGAGGAGGAGGAGGAGGAGGAGGAAGAGGAAAAGGAGAAAGGAGGAGGAGACGAAGAATAGTGAATAGTGAAAAGAGGGGGCAACTGCCTTCCGTACACGCTTCTCACGAAGAAGAAGAATAGTGAATAGTGAAAACAGGGGCCAACTGCCTTCCGTACACGCTTCTCCAGTTCTTCATCATTACACAACCGCGTGTACGGAAGAACTGGAGAAGCGTGTAGTCTCAGCTTACGCGCATAATCGTTAGGAACTAGGGAAAAGAAAAACGGAATTAGGGGAGTTGAGAGTCTTGAGACACAGGTCAAGAGTTCGATTCCTGCTGAATATGATAAGGTATTGTGGGGACCACTCCCCCCTCTACCCCCCACGAGAGAAAAACGGAGTTAGGGAAAGGTTTCTTCCTGCGACCTGGCAGGCAGGTCGGTTCCCGTACAGGAGGAGGAGGAGGAGGAGGAGGATTCCTAATGGATTTCAACAAGCGGAAAGCAGGAGTGGGTAAAGGACGGTGAGATGCAAACAGGCCAAAGAAAGAAAAAAAAAAAGGAAGAAAAAAAGAGGGTGGGTGCCCAAAGCATGGACTTTTAAGGGTGGGTTACAACGGGACTTCCTTGTGGGGTACAAACAAGATGACCACTTTAACACACCTGGATGTCTGCAGACAGCCAGGAAGGTAGGTACACGGTGTGCACCAGGACGTGATACTGACCAGGTACATTCTAACAGGGGCAGGGGAGTCAATTTGCTGTTTTGCTGCCGGAGGCAGGGTACCCTCCTTTCACCCATCCTATTAATCAAAATACCATGATTAAAAAAATCTTCCCCTCCCCACCCTTCCGGCCCCCTCCCCCTCCCCCCCTCC